ACAGCTAGCAACTGCCAGACTAGGCAGCTTTGACCTACAGTATCTAGAGGAGCTGTAAGGGCTTGCTACTTCCAATGATGAGCTTGGAGATTGAGAAAATGCTAGGAACTGTACACTTCACAAAAGGAAATCTCAGCTAGTTTGATGAAAATGGAAGAAAAACAAGATAAGGATGTCTCTACCCATCAGGGTCAATCCAATGGAATGTTGGGATATTGGTCACATGACCAATTAAAAATTGTAGCCCTACACTGTAGCTTACTGAATCTGGTCAAATTATACTCCCATTGTGGAGATATTATGTAAAAGATTGTTCTGTGTGCCGTGTTTTTTTTTGTTTTTGCATTTTTCTCTATGAATACAAAACCAAACAAGATAATTTGAACACATTTAGAAAGCTAAAAGAAAGAGCTACAATTATTGTATTGAGGGAAAAATGACCAAAAAAGGAAGGTGTATGCCCTAAAAGGGAAACTGACACTGACAGACTACAAAATTATAGTTAGAGTTGAGTACAAGCTAGGGTTAGCTAAGGTTGAATATAAAGTCTACTGATAGAGTAGAAAAGACTACAACAATTAGATTAGACTACCAAGTTAGGGTTAAGGTTCACTACAAAGTAGGGTTAGTGTTCACTACAAGCTGGGGTTAAGGTTGACCACCAAAGTTAGACTTACATCATCAAGTTAGGGTTAGGGTTGACCATAAAGTCACTACAAAGTTAGGGTTAGGGCTGACCACAAGCTAGGGTTAGGGTTGACCACAAGCTAGAGTTAAAACTTACACCACCAAGTTAGGGTTAGGGTTGACTATAGACTACAAAGTTAGGGTTAGGGTTGACCACAAGCTGGTGTTAAGGTTGACTACAAAGTTTACTAATCAACTACATAAGACTACAAAGGTGGGATATAGACTAGACCACAAAGGACTACAAAAGTCAAACTTCAACTACAAAGTCTACTGATAGTCTACAAGGACTACAAAGGTTGAACTTTCACTACAAAGTCACAGTAGTTAGTAGTCACTGCTTTTTGAGATTACAAAAGTCTGTAGTGTCTGCTGTTTCTCTTATGAGAGTTTGCACTAGGCATATCATATTTCATTGTATTGTCTGCTTCCATAGATGTTCACTTTTCTGACATGTAATTGACTATATATAGGTTCATAGGAATATGGTTGAAGGATTGACCATCAGAAAAGGCTATTCTGTACTTTCATTTTATATTGATAGCTACTATCCTATCTCAAAACATAGTCATAGGTTCATGGAGATATAATTGAAGAGTTGAAGAGACTTTATATGTTGCCATTCCTGCATCATAAGTTGTTGAGATCATGCACAAGTTGGCTTTCATATCAGAAGAGGCTATTCTATGCTTTCATATTGGCAACTAGTGTTCTATCTCAAGACATAATCAGCTTACATCATAACCTGACTTTGTTGTTGAAAGTAAGAATATATGCCAGGACCAATCAGCCCATCATTCATACAGTACTGTGGCACTGAAACAACTTATATCAAAGTTGACTCTGTTTTCAGACAGGACAGTAGCTAGACAGAACAGTAGCTATTGATATGAAGGTAAGAGTAGCTGCTTCAGCCACAAATATGAAATGAAAGCATAGAATAGCCTCTCTTGATATGAAAGACAACCTGTGCATGATGTCAGCAACTCATCCTGCAGGACCAATCAGCCCATCATCCATGAACTCATATCATTGACTCTGTGTTGAGACAGAATAGTAGCTATTGATATGAAAGTATAGTAGCTTCTTCTAATGTGAAAGACAACTTGTCCATGATGTTGCAGCAATGGCAATATGTGGATTCATGTCAATCCTTCAACTACATTCCTATGAATTTATACATAGTCAAGAACACTATAACCAAATACATGTCAGAAAAGTGGACTACAAGTTTTGTAGTCTCAAAAAGTGAACACTACAAACTTTTGTAGGCTACAGAACCAGTCTAAGTGACTTTTGTAGTCTTTTTGTAGTCTTTTGTAGTCTAGTCTATGTCCTACTTTTGTATTCTTTTGGTAGTCCATCAGTAAACTTTGTAATCAAGTCTAACCTTTGTAGTCAACTCTAACCCTATCTTGTGGTCAACCCTAACCCTACCTTTGTAGTATAAGTCTGGTGTAGTCTTTTGTAGTCTATCAGTAAACTTTGTAGTCTGAGTCCAACTTTTTCCAGTCTATCAGTAAACTAGTTAACCCTAAGCCAAACTTTGTAGTCAACTTTGAAGTTGGTTCTAACCTTAACTTTGTAGTGTATGTCCAACTTTTGTAGTCTATCAGTAAACTTTATAGTCAACCTGAACCCTAGCTTGATGTCAAACTTTGTAAGGTGATTCCAACTTTTGAGGTATTTTGTAGTCTATTAATAAACTATGTAGTCAACTCTAACCCTAACTCAGTAGTATAAGTCCAACATTTGTAGTCTGTCATTAAACTTTGTCATCAACCTTAACACCAGCTTGTGGTCAACCCTAACCCTAGCTTGTGGTCAGCCCTAACCCTAACTTTGTAGTGACTTTATGGTCAACCCTAACCCTAACTTGATGATGTAAGTCTAACTTTGGTGGTCAACCTTAACCCCAGCTTGTAGTGAACACTAACCCTACTTTGTAGTGAACCTTAACCCTAACTTGGTAGTCTAATCTAATTGTTGTAGTCTTTTCTACTCTATCAGTAGACTTTATATTCAACCTTAGCTAACCCTAGCTTGTACTCAACTCTAACTATAATTTTGTAGTCTGTCAGTGTCAGTTTCCCTTTTAGGGCATACACCTTCCTTTTTTGGTCATTTTTCCCTCAATACAATAATTGTAGCTCTTTCTTTTAGCTTTCTAAATGTGTTCAAATTATCTTGTTTGGTTTTGTATTCATAGAGAAAAATGCAAAAACAAAAAAAAACACGGCACACAGAACAATCTTTTACATAATATCTCCACAATGGGAGTATAATTTGACCAGATTCAGTAAGCTACAGTGTAGGGCTACAATTTTTAATTGGTCATGTGACCAATATCCCAACATTCCATTGGATTGACCCTGATGGGTAGAGACATCCTTATCTTGTTTTTCTTCCATTTTCATCAAACTAGCTGAGATTTCCTTTTGTGAAGTGTACAGTTCCTAGCATTTTCTCAATCTCCAAGCTCATCATTGGAAGTAGCAAGCCCTTACAGCTCCTCTAGATACTGTAGGTCAAAGCTGCCTAGTCTGGCAGTTGCTAGCTGTGATGCTAGGCAACTACCTATAACTACTGGCTTAAACATGTTATATCAGTGCTTGAACATATCTGCAGAGGCTGGAAAAGGTGAAAAAATAGCTCAGAGTTTTTTTATAGAGTAAGGACCCCAGACACTCCTGTGACTCTGGAGGAAAAAATATATACGTGACATAAAAAAGATCTTTTCAGAACAAGAGAAAAGATCTTTTTGTGTGACAGTGGATAAAAAATAATACGTGACAATGAAAAGATCTTTTTGCAGTCAGGGAAAAGATCTTTTAGTGTGACAGTGGACAAAAATAAATACGTGACAATGGGATATTAAAAGGATAATTCTGATCATGTGACAGTGGACAAAAATATATACGTGACAGGAAAAAGATCTTTTTGTATGCAGGGAAAGGATCTTTTGGTGTGACAGTGGACAAAAATTAATATGTGACAGGATCATTCTGAAAGGATCTTTTGGTATTCAGGGTCCCAAAAGATCCATCCACCACCTTACTCTTAGCTGGGATCATTTGCCATTTTATCCCAGCTAGTGGTTAGTACTTGGGGGTTGACTGAAGTGACACTAGCTCCTGTTTTGCCCATAGGAAATTTGATAGGATCTAAATTATGTCTAAGTTCATCTCTTACATTTTCCAAAGTAAGTGTTCCTTCAAGTACCTTGTTGAAACCAGCTGCCAATGCACCTAAATAATCTTGGTTGTGTTGGATAGCCATAGTGGACTGGCAACTCCAGCACGCTGATGCAGTGCGTGCTCTCATGCACACTCAACCTATCTAGGACTAAGTAGTATATTGTAGAGTATTCTAGTAGTTACATATTGTAGTATATAAGGAGGGCTCGAGAGCCCCCAATTCATTATCCTTCTTGCTTTATACTCCCTCGTATTAGCTGCTCCAACAGGTTATGGGCCCCAAAGCCTAAACACACTACAAACTACTATACAACCTTATCACACCATTATCACCCTTTACATTATCGATTATGTAACAGCACATGGAGACCACAGGATCATCGAACATTTACCGGATTGAGCTGCTTAAAGGTGCGGACAATTACGCAGTATGGAAGATCAAGATGATGGATATCTTGACGGATCAGAGTCTGTGGGAATACGTGGATCCTGGTACAGCACCGTTGGACGTCAACCAGAAAACAGCATGGGATAAGAAGGACAGGACGGCTTTATCGACAATAAGATTACGAGTAGCAGACAAACTATTGGTATACGTTGCTAGCTCGAAATTGTTGAAAGAAGCCTGGGATACATTGAAGGGTCTGCTGGAAGCCCAAGGGCTGTTAGGAATTGTCCTTGCCTGAAGAAAATTATTCAGGGCTAAGTGCGAGGATGGCACTAGCATTGAAGATCACTTCTGGACCCTTAGAGGTTATCAAGAGGAGTTGCACCATCTTGGACAGAAAATTGAGGATGCAGAATTTTCTATCATCCTACTCACATCACTTCCAGATAGTTGGAATAATTATATTTCATCTATTGACACATCTGCCCTCACTGATGCACCTAAATCAATTGCCAGAATCTTCAAGCATGACAGAAGACTCAAGATTCAAGGCACCGACGATATGGCCCTGCCAGCCAAATAGGGCAAGAATAAATACAATCTGAAAATAACATGCTTTAGATGTGGCAAGCATGGCCACATCAAAGCAGATTGCCAATCTAAATCAAACAATCAATCAAATGACAAGAAGCCAAAGTTTGGAGGAGCACATGCAAATGAAGTCACTGATGACTTTGGGTTTGCAGGAATTGATGGCGCGCCCGAAATGGCATTTGCTTTGCTCACAGCTGATTCCTGGTTGCGGATTCAGTGTGTACTTCACATATTACACCGGAAAGGAGTTATTTTAGAGAATATACTCCTACCTCAGGTCATTTTGTTAAGGGATTAGGAAATCAACCAGTGTTAGGGATGGGAACAGTTAAATTAATCTCCCACGTTGATGGAAAAGCCTATCCCATCACTCTCAATAATGTGCTTCACGTTCCGAATGCACCCCATAATCTTATCTTGCTCGGGCGAGTTACTGGTGAAGTCTTGAAATAAAAGAGTAATATCTCATTGCTTTGACAAACAGAATTTTAAATTGTGGTGCTTGTTAATCTTCTGAAATTTCAACTGAAGCTTTGGATATATTATGTCTTTCTGTGTAAGATATTTTCAAGCACTTGCATAAGTCTTACACTTGACTGTATCACCCAGAAAATTCAACCCTATCTACTGGAAAGAATATCATACAGCTGGTGTGTCCCTTGTTTTTTTCCCCCTTGTTTAGATGGTTGTATGATTATCTGGGATGGAAATTCTGATGACTTTTAGTTGTTTACAAAGCTTATGCATGAGAGGAAAACCAAGATCCAGAGCAAAGCTGCAATTATATGGAATGGTAATCATGCCAAGGGAAATGGGATGAAAATCTTCATTTTATAGCATCACATGTCATAGTTTCACACATGAAAAACTACTGTAAGTTATCATCAAACTTTCAGAAACAAAATCACAATGTCAGGTTGTATATGTACAAAGAAAGAATCCTATTTCTAATTCAACATCAAAGTGGAAGTGCTTCACATGCACCCCACCAAAAAAAAGGGTTAATTCCTCCAACCTACATCCTTTAAAGTGCTCCAGAGCTGCCCAGATGTAGGTGGAAATGGAAGGATGAGCTAGTAGTTTACAGCTCATGTATAGAAGATAAGATAAGATAAGAAATATTCTCTTTTCTTTCGCTTTTTCCTCTTTTTATTTTATTTTATTTTATTTATGTAATAGCAGCTACAAACACCAGTACCCTGCCCACATTACACCCTATCCACAAGAAGCAAAGATGGAGATTGCCGAGGTTGGCGATCTGACAGTTTCCGATCTTTGGGGACCTGCACAAACTACTGGCATAGGGGGAGAAAAATATTTCATCACATTCACAGACAGAAAATCATGCCGTTCAATGAGATATTTTTTGAAGAAGAAATCCGAGGCACTAGAGAAGTTTAAACAGTACAAGGCATTTGTGGAAACACAAACAGGCCGGAAACTGAAGAAACTTAGAGTTGATGGTGGTGGGGAATATATTAATGATGAGTTCAAGGAACATTTATTAACAAATGGAATATTCCTTGAGGTTACAGCAGCCTACTCATCTTCACAGAATGGAATTGCAGAGTGTGTAAACCGAACTGTAGTTTCGGAGGCATGCGCTATGTTACACTCGCAAGATCCACATCTCGCTTACTATCTTTGGCCAGAAGTGGTCAAATATGCCACTTATCTCCGAAATCGTTCTCCTACACATGCCTTGAAAGATGGAAAAACTCCCGACAAAGCATTCTGGAACAAAAAACCTAATATCTCGCATTTGCAAGAATTTGGTCGCAAATGCTGGGTTTTACAGCAAGACAAGAAAAATAGGAAATTGGATCCTAGATCCCACCCATTTAATTTTGTTGGCATTGATGACAGTACAAAAGGGTACCGTTATTGGAATGGCCAGCAAATATTAACCTCACACACTGTTATTTTCTCAAAGGATGACCAAGAAATTCACAACTATGATGAATTTGAGGTCACAGTCAATCATCCTATGGAGATTGAGGGGGAGAATAGTCAATCGGACAATCTCCCATCAGATGATAACCCTGACAAGAACATCAGTACTAATAATACCATGATCATGGACATGCCAAAAACGTCAAAGATTCCAATTCCAACTCAGGAAAAATCTACACATGTTGCCGAGAAGTCACCATTCCATTATAGGTTTTTAAATAATCCTGCAGCAAGAGGTCCTCGGGAATGGCAGCATCAGGTACCAGTTCTCTCACAAGAAGAAAGCAATTTCTTGCAAGACATGGAAATAACATATGATTATGCTATGCTTGCAGAAAAAGCACCAGAGGTTGATGATGACCTGAAAGATGTTGAAGAAGCAAGATCCTGTCCAGATTGGCCTGAATGGAAAAAGGCAATGGATGCGGAAGTTCTTCAATTAGAAAATCTAGGGACATACATCAAAACAAAAATTCCTAAAGATAGAGTTGCCATCAACTGTAAATGGGTATTCTGCCTAAAGCGCGACACAGAAGGAAAAATCGTGCAGCACAAAGCAAGATTAGTTGCCAAAGGTTTTTCACAGATCCCCAGGATAGATTTCTTTGAGACTTTCGCACCAGTGATGCGCCTTGATACTTTGCAGCTATTATTAGCCATTGCCGCAATGTACGGATTAGTCGCCCATGTTGTTGACGTTGTGGGAGCTTATCTCAATGGAGAACTCAAAGAACAAATTTACATGAAGCAAATCCCCAGATACAAGGATGGCACAAACTCAGTACTTTTATTACAGCATACACTCTATGGACTACGACAATCTGGATGTGTGTGGAATGAAAAGTTAAACAAAACTTTCATTCAACTCAGCTTCACGTGGCTATTTTCAGATCAATGTGTCTATATCAGGCACATCAGGAACAACATCGTTATCATCAGAGTTCATGTTGATGACATGTTAATTTTAGCTTCAAATGAGGAAGCAATGGCAGAATTCAAAGGAGAATTCAGCCAAAAATTTGATATTTCAGATCTTGGAGAACTTAAACAAATAGTAGGATTTGAAGTTCAAAGGGATCTCAAGAAGAACACAATACATTTGACACAAAATCAATATGTGGGAAAGATCTTGGCACTTCAGTCACCCACTAACAACTGACTATTAGTCTTGCAAACTCCATGAATACTACGGGACTAAATGTCAGAGTGTATATCTATATTGTATATATCCTGGGGCTTGTATATCTCTACTTTACCTAAATATATTTTGAACTCCAATGTCACACCAAATATATTTGTAGTGTGTCACACACCCCAAAATATATTTCTTCACTGAGATCGACTCCAAATATATTTCTTATGCCTGGACTCTGAATTGTGACTGTCACAATGTAGAAATATATTTCTGGTCTGGGATGGACTTAGGATATATTTTGCTGCTGGGGTTGACCAAGGATATATTTCTTCAGCCACTAGGGGTGTTTGGGGTCCCAGTCCCTAAAAAAAACTTGTGATTTTTCTGCCATGTGAGACATATATTCTAGGTAATTTTCCTATTAATTTTAGAGTCTTAGCCACCATCTGGAACTGTGTTTCCTTGACTATTTGGACGATATAGACCACTATAATGGCCTACATGAAGGCTACAACAGTCTGACTGTCCATCATAGATCAAAACAGTCCAAGTGGGAGGACTACAACTTGAGCAACATTCCAGATCAGAAGTCTTCAAGTTGGAGGGCTTTGACTTGGTCAATGAACATCATAGCTCCATGACTAT